GACACCACGTCTTCACTCGACATGAAGAATTATTGCGCTGGTGAGAAGGAAGATGGCCTGCAGCTTGGAAAGGCAAGGATTTACCACTTGATGCCAAAATATTCAATAATGTTTTAGGTTTCAACATCATAAGTTTCAAAATTTGATTTGTTTCTTTCCTGGGGACAAAATCACTCAATAAAAATGCAACCAGTACACAGCTTGTGATTATGTAAATGAACCTCAGCATATCCTCATCACAAGATGCAATGAACTCAAACATGCCAAAAGTCCAAAAAGGAATACAAAATGCCACACTCCAGCAGAGAATGCCCAGGAGAATCAGAACGGCGTGCGCAATAATGCCACCGATAAGAGACACGCTTATCAAGTGAATCGCTCGAGAAGCGCAGAGATGAACGAGGTCCTGAAGGAGCTGGAGAGGGGCAGCTACATGCACAAGATCAAACCTGACGGAACCTGGAATGGAAGGCGGTTCCGAATCAGCCTCCCGGACTTACAGTTCACCTACAAGCCTTCTTTCAAGGGATGTTCTTGCAGTGCATCAACTTGGAGATGTGAGAATGTTTTTTCTTGGCCTAGTTTTTATGAAAAATTTCAGAAAATTCTAAGAGATCAGTATTTGTTTCATTAGCTTTCTCAACCACAAAAATCCTTTAAGAGTAGAAATTGCCAATGTTTTTATGAAAATGGCAAGAAATTTCCTAGATGAGAAACAATTGATGAATTCATGATAGGCACTGAAAAATATTCGTGACATGTACTTTCACATGGATCTGTTTCCCATGTGAAAGCCAACCCCCCTTCCTAGCTTCTCATGAATTGCAAAGCCAATTATGCATCCATGTCTCCCACTTGCTTTCATGTTTTAAGAACAACCATTCTGGATGACAACCCGTTCTGGGTGATTTGTATATCAGGAGGTGTGAGTGGTGTTGGCCAAGGGAAGATACATTGATAAATTTGATATGAGATGTCACAATGGAAAGACTGGACAGCCACCTAGACACTGGCACCAGCACCAGACAATCAGAAGTTTTTCTATTTGGGTTTTCCCACATACTCCATTATGACATCCTAGATCAGGTTGAAAGGAATCACAGAGATTTTGCAAGTCAAATTCAAACAGTCTTGTTAAGGTCAAATGAAGGTTTCATGGGTAATACCTATTGGTTATTTTCTCATAATCGTTCCCTTTAGCATCTGTTGAACAGGCCTAACCTGGCTTCCTTCATAGCTCTGCAAACATTTACCAATTCTTGACTTAAGACATCACCTTAATCAATTGAAATCATGATGTTATTGACATGGATTTTTTAAATTGCCAATAGCAATGTGAAAAATGGATTTTCTCAGCCCGGCAGGCTTATTTTATTACATAGTTCTGCAGTATTTTTTAAACAAGGACCCTAGCCTTATTGGTCCATTGGGAAACCAGAGTGCCTACTTTTCCGAAGTGCAAAGGGTTACTTCAAATGTTGACTATCGCATTGTCTACCACAATGCAGTGGACATCCACGATATGCAAGAAGTAAGGAGAGGCTGGAAGACAGATTCTTTCAACAAAGTGGCAGCCAGGATGCAGCGGGGCGTGAGGGTGCCGCATCCGATCGAGGAGAAGACGTGCTTCTCCGTCATCCACGGGAAACAGGGGAAGTCTCTCGACGTGGTCGCACCGTCCGACAGAATTCGGGACCAGTGGGTCACGGGTCTCCAGTTCCTCATCGAGAAGATCCAGTGCGAGGAGATGGAAGCCAAACATGATCGGTGAGATAACACCTTGAGATAATGGGATGGGAAATTGCCCCTCCATTTCCTCTTGTCTGTTTATGTTTCCCACCTGTTGCCTCTATTTCAATTACCTGTGCCATTTGATGCAGGAGACTTGTTCACAATGTACTTGAGTGCATTATTGAGCTCATGCCTTATCATATGGTTTCTGAGTGAAGTGCCCATAGATTACTCTCCCTACATTAAAGAGTATATTCTCTTCTTTCTGGCCTCATCTGCAATCTTTGGAGCTTTTTCACTAGAATAATGGTATTTATTTCATTTGCTAGGTGGCTAAAGGAAAAGACATGTTTCCTGCATAAGTATCACCTGCTGTAGCTCCTTTTGTAACAGCAGGATGACAATAATATTGATAATTTCATGATTGGAAAGATTTTGTTTTCTAGTTTCCTGGGATCATTCAAAATACTGATGATACAGAAACTTTCTTATTTAATAGTTGCACTTGGAAGCTAACTTTAAAACTTGATGCTGATAACTTATTGCATGAGCTGAGGAATGTGCTTCAGCACCAATTAATGACAACTTTATTTAGCCAATTATGTCTGGGGATGAAATGCAAGCCCCATGCAACTATCCCAAAACTAAAAAGCCATAAGGAAGGAAGCACAGCGAGTTCCTAAGGCCGGCATGTCAAGGTTCTTGCAACTAACCAAGACAAATTATACACTATATTCTACTATTATTATCAGTGATGACATCCAGATGACCCGGTCACTCATGGTTGTACAATTATTGAACAATGTGCTTTTGTCCTTCAAGTCCTGGCAATCATGGATAGGAACCTAGGTGGACTGCTGGCATTAGGATGTGGAGAAACAAAATGATTATGCTGAGAATTGAGAAAATTTTATGCTGTTCCATTTATTAGTGAATGATTCATAAGAAAACTTGAACTCCTTTTGCCTGCCTGTTGTCTATCCTCTTTTATGTGTGGTTTCTTCATGTTTTAAAATGGAGTGGCAGTACCTAAGTACTGGCCATGACTTTGCACCTTGGTAACAATGTTCCCAATTTTTAGGGAAAGTTGATAAGAAAAATTGACACGTTTTTTTCAAGAAAGATGGAAAAAAAAGTTTATCGGTGGTAAGTGCATGAAATGATCAATCTCAGTTCATGACATGATACATCCTTTGTTTTTTTTGTAAACAGTTACCTGCAAAATTTTTTTCTTTATCCCCTCAGTTGGCTGAGGAAGCAGTTTGAGGCAGCTGATGAGAACAAATCTGGGAGATTAAATTTTGATGAAGTGTGTCAACTTGTTCAGCAATTGAACATTGACATGGACAAGAAGGAAATCAAGTTGCTTTTTGATGTGAGTCACCGCTTGCATCTGAGATTCTAATTTTTTGTTGCTGCAAAACATTTCCGCATATTTTTTTTGCTGTAGAAAGCAAATGTGGACAAGAGCAAGGCTGGAGGGAAGAATTCCCTCAACCAAGATGAATTCCTTCAATTGTATTATGTGCTCCTCTATCGCCCAGAAGTGGAAGAGATCTTTAGGAAGTATAGGGGGCAGGAGTTCATTTCCATCGATGGACTTGGATTGTTCCTCAAGGAAGAGCAAGGGATGGAAAATGTGACTTTTGAGGAATGTGCAGCATGTATTGCTGCTTATGAAACTCGAGAAGATCTCAAAGAAGCAGGATATATGAGTGCCAAAAGTAGGCCTCCTTTCCTTGTTGCAGTCCTTTTTTCTTTTTGGAGATCTTGAGTTTTGATAAGTTCATTGTGTTCCTCCAGGTTTTGCCAAATTCCTGCAATCAGAAATGTTTAATGTATTTGGCAAGAGTCAGAAGATCCTCTGTGATGACATGACCCAACCTCTTTCACATTATTACATCGCTTCTTCTCACAACACGTGCGTACATTGAAGCATCGTCGATGGATGGGATTCCAAAAACCGCTTGACAGACGTTTAATACCCTTTGCAGATATCTTATGGCTGATCAGCTTACAGGGGACAGCAGCGTGGAGGGTTACATCCGGGCTCTTCAAGCCGGCTGCCGATGTGTTGAGTGTGAGCGTTGGCAGGTTATTCGTGTTCATTTTTAAGAACAGCAATGCAAGGAAATGTTATTATTGGAATTGCAGTGGATTGTCACGATGGACCAGAGGGAGAGCCCATCATCTACCATGCCTACACTCTGACGTCCCGCATCCGCTTCATGGATGTGATCAGCGATGCCATCAAGGGTTATGCATTTGTTGCTTCTCCTTATCCTCTTATCCTCTCGCTGGAAGTCCACTGCAGTGAAGAACAGCAGGCCAAACTGGCTCATCATCTCGTCACTTTCCTCGGAGGTACGGTCCGATGCACGTTTCGTGCATCCAGTGTGCAAGCGTCTTCAAGGATCCTGGTTTTGCTTTTTTGTTTTTTTGTCTATCACAGCTTCATCTGAAAGTGCTGGATTAGCTACAAAATTACCAGCATGCCAGATTTTGTGCTTTAAGAACTGGTCATTGTTCCCCTTTCAATTACCCCAATTCATTTGCATACTCCTCAAAAGCATTGGAGGAGAGACACTATTTTTCTGCTAACTGGACTTATTCATGTTACTGTATCATATTAAGATAATTGACTATTAATAGACCTAATTTGATGAGTTAGCAAAGCTGGTAATCTGTTTGGCTAGTGGAGCTTGTGGACTGAAATTATGAATATGACAGATCACCAAGTTGTCTCTTTTTAGGTATTTTCTGCATGTATTGCAAATATATAAATAAATATAATGCAAATAAATAGTATTGGCAGCTTCATCTTGGCAAGAAACGTAAGTATGGTAAGAACCATCCAATATTTACAGACATGGACCATGGAAGTTAGTCACATATTGACACATGGGAAGTGCTGTTGCTCATGAATAGGATTACCCCCCCCCCCCTCCCCTTTTCCAAGAAAAAGTCAAGAAAAGTATATCATGATGTCTCATTGCCAAATACTGAAGTCTAAATTAGAAGGTGAATATTTATCCTTTTTTTTTTTTTCAAATTTCATCTATATGTTAGCATTTTCAAATGTGTTTATATGCTTCTATTTGTGCAAAATGCATCATATCCTGTTGAATAATGTCAGAATTTATGCATGGGTAGCAATTCCCTCCCATCCTCCCAATTTTTGGGAGAAATTAACGAAAAGCACACTGGAATTCCCAAATTTCTAAGACTCAAAATCAAGTTTTGCAACAAAAAAATTTTTTTTTTATACAGATGTTCCTCATGCATCACTTACTAGCTCATAAAACTCTACTCCCTACTTATCTATTTCAACTGGAATATTACCCTAATTATCACTGTGGTTGCACAATTGAGGTGTATATCTCCAATATTCATCAAAGCTACTGTTAGCTTTTGTCAATTTACATAAAAAATTAATTTTGACCAAAAGGTATTTTTTTTTTGAAGTTGATAATAATTTCTCCATGTCTGTAAATATATCAATGTGTGTGTGTGTGTCTCTATGTCAATTTGCCAAAATTAAAGAGCATTCATGGGTACAAAAACAACTTTAAATGAACTGAAACTGAACCTAAGAACTTGAAATCCAAAATGAGAAGCCTTTTAAACCCAAAGGATTCATTCAGAACCAGTGATATGATGAATTTTCTTGTTCTAACTTGAAATTTTGCTGCATGATGACTATGTTAGCTTTAGTACAGCAATGCAAGTTTTCTGATCACTTGTTTTTACCGTGTCAGTTGCGTCTCAGTCCTTATCTAGGGCAAATGAAATAGAGAGAATTTTGGGATTTTTTGAGATTTGAAGAGTCAGAAATTTTCAGAAGTTCTTTTAAAAATACTGTTTTTTTTATGCATTTGAGAAGTGGATGATGCAAAAAGCAGAATATGAATTTTTTGGAAACATGGGACTGATAATATAGATTTAGCAATTTCAAAATTCATGATCATATGATTTTATTCAATATATATACTTTCTCAATGTTTAAATTCAATTCAATTAATTTTTTTTTACTTATAAAACATGCATGTGTGGCCTTGATGAATCCATGAAATTCATGTTGAATGTTTTTTCCCATGCCAAAATCTGAATTTAGGCATGAAAGTGCTGAGGAGCATGGAGTTTGGGTTTCTTTTGTTCATGACTCCTGCATTCCTTACTCAAATCATCGAAAGTTGCTTACCAATATGTTTACTTTTCTTTTTTAAAATTGTTTTTGAACTTCTGTGGGCTAGTGTGAGGTTGAATCCTGCTGGAACTCTCAAGTTTCATTTCTCTCATTTCATGGCAAAAGTCATTCTTGAATCTTCCTCTCCCTCCTTCCTGAGTCTTGTTCCTCTTGGTTTTCTGGGTCAATCCTCTGTCAGGAACGTCTTTGAATGATTTTGGTTCAATGATTTCCGTTCTCCACATAGATATGTTGTATAAGGATCCCGTAGATCCCGATGCGACTTCCCTTCCATCCCCCGAAGCCCTGAAGCGAAAGATCATCATCAAGGTACAGTGTGAGGAAATGTAATGGGTAATAATGTCATGCTAATGCACCCTTTCTCATCTATACTAGTGCCTCACAGCCGCTTCACCAACGATGCTGCATCTATTACTTCTGCTCCTTCTGACCTGTCTTGTGCATGATACTATTTTCTGCTGGAGTGTGGCATTTTGTATTCCTTTTTGGACTTTTGGCATGCTCGAGTTCATTGCATCTTGTGATGAGGATATGCTGAGGTTCATTTACACAATCACAAGCTGTGTACTGGTTGCATTTTCATTGAGTGATTTTGTCCCCAGGATAGAAACAAATCAAATTTTGAAACTTATGACGTTGAAACCTAAAACATTATTGAATATTTTGGCATCAAGTGGTAAATCCTTGCCTTTCCAAGCTGCAGGCCATCTTCCTTCTCACCAGCGCAATAATTATTCATGTCGAGTGAAGACGTGGTGTGAAGCTAGACTTGCTTGATGCTTTCAAGTTACTGCTATAAATGGACTTTCCCTAACAAGCGTTTTGGGGATTTTCTCATATCATATCATCCTTAATTGTCATATTCTTGCCATTGAGCCTTTCTCTCTCCGATAGGCCAAGAAACTTCCGGCCGAGTCGGGCGAAGAAGCCGAGGAGCTCGACGGGATGTCCGGGGACGAGAGAGGGTCGGGTTCCCCGAATCAGATTTCTGCCGTCAACGGGATGAGCAATGAATCATCCTCTCCGGATTCCTCGCGTGTTATCTCAAATCATATGTCTGACCTTGTGAACATTTGCCAAGCGGTCAAATTCAAGAGCTTTCAGCACTCCCGGGTTTTTGGTAAAACCGCTCGTGCTTCTTTTCCCTCGTCTTGGTACCTCGTGTGGAATTTATTTTCACCACCCATGTATCTCTGCAGGAAAGCCATATTTCATGTCATCGTTTAGCGAGGGAAAGGCCACCGAAATGATTTTGGCAGAGGAAAGCGATTTCATCAACTACAACCAGCGGCAGCTGTGCCGCATCTACCCGCACGGCTTGCGCACCAGCTCTTCCAATTACTACCCTCACACTTTCTGGAATGTTGGCTGCCAAATAGGTGAGACATGCTGCTGATATTTTTCTCTTGCTTTGTCATCTGTTCTGTTATGGTATCTCTTAAATTTTGTTACCTTTGTTGGAAAAGCATATGAGAATCTGAGATTCCATCATGATCCCTTCAGCATCATCCTCAATGGAAATAGGAACTTTTGAAGGGATGTGCTTTTTTCAACATGTAGTGAACTGTCCTTTCTGGGCAGTTAGTTGCTTCTGGAGTTTTTTTTAAATCCTTCAAATTGGATGCACACTTGCAGATAATTTTTTTGCTCTTGTTTATATCCTTTCTGGTTCAGTCAATGTTTTATTATTCATATAGCATGGAAAAACTTGTCTGCCCGTGTCAATAGGTGTCAATTGAATGTAAATTCATGTAATTTTTGTCATTCATCAGGGGTTTGCTCTAGGACCTGTCCCACCTAAGGGAATCCTGCAGGATCTGGATTTATGCTTGTTTTGTAATGTAGGAATTGAGTAAGATATGAGACAGTGTAGTGAGATTGAGATGGGTGGAAGACTAAAAACAAAAACTAAGGGCTTGGATGTGTGTAGATCACAAAAACAAAGTTTGTGTTTCCCTCCAGATGGTACCAGCATGTTATTATAACACTAACAAGACTTGTCCCTCATCTCTACCTCTATCTGTCATCTTCATCTTGGGCATTGAGGTCATTCCCAATAAATTGGCAGAAATATTTTTTTATGGTAGTTTGGAAAGTGGAAAGCAGGTGCAAAAACACCCTATTCTATGTCATGTTAGTATTTAAGGAACATGTTTGGAGAGCAGTTGATGAGAGGGGACTTTCCCAGGAATAGCCTGTCTTGTGCTGTGATGCTTACAAGATTTTTTCACCAGAGAGTGTGAAAGGGAAGAGTCTCTACAGCAGTGGTATCCAATCTTTTTATTTGCTGCACACATAAGGACACTTGAACTTTCCACGGCACACCCAGCCAATTTACTTGCTTCGCTGAACACAGCAGTTTGATACGAGGCATGATAGTGCAACTCTAAGCTCGTTTTCCACTGAGAGATGGCATTCCCTCTTGTTTGTAAGTTTTTTTTTTTCAACTCTCAACTCTCAAATTTCACAGCACACCTAAGCCTTACTGGCAGCACACTGTTTGGGAAACACTGTTCTATGTATCCCTGTGTAGATAAGAAAAATCTTTTGTCATCTTCCCTTGCTGAAAAAAAAATGTTGGGCCAGGCCTTGACCATGAGCAAGTAGAATGTCTTTATGGTAATCATGCCTAGATGGGACCCCTTCATTGCACTGTTAGGAGATTGGAAATCTCTGGTTATTTTCTTTTTATAGCAGCAGGCTCAATGGGAATTTCCCCATTGGCACCTGGTAAAGGTTGCCACAATCCCCATTCGTTCTTTATCTCTGCCTCTTATCTATCATACCTAAGGCATCTTTCAATATTACGAGTGTTATTCCTCCAAAGGAAAACTCCCAACTCTTGATTTCAAACTGTCATGCTTCATTTTTGTGAAATGCAAAATGCATCATAAAAAATTTGATGCATTTGTTGCGCAAATTTAATATCTATACATCATACCCTCAAAAATATGAATGCTTCACAAAAAATAACAGTTGATTTTTCTCGTATCTCTCTCCTTCCTTATCAACCCACCTGCAAGTTTTTATATCTATCACTGTCGCCATAAAATATCCTCTGTGTACCTCTAATCCAGGGGTGTCAAACCGGCAGACCGTGGGCCTGATCCGGCCCATGAAGTCCTCTTCAGCAGTTGGTTATGGAAACTAACCGCAAATTTCAGCCTGTTTGCATTAAATATAAGGTATTACATTTATGTTGTGGCCCCAATCACCCCTGCTCTAAATCAGTGCTGCCCTCTACCAACAGAATTTTAAACTACCTGTGCTTCCATATGAAGGAGGCATTGCTTAATGTGTAAATGGTCACACCAATATCTATGCAAGTTTTTGGGAAGAAATCCAAATACTTTTGAATCACCTCAATGCAATACATCAGCCTCTTCCTCAGCTGATACATCCAATCAACATGGGACCTTTGCTACTTCAGTGTGGTTGATTTGGTCAAGATTCATGAAAAAAGAAGCCAATTCAATTTTGAAAATCTGGAAAGTCAAAATTGTCACTTTCTGGTAGCTAGATGCCACATCCAATCAAAAAAAGGTGCCATTGATGGAATTGCTGTCTTCCACAAGGCTTTTCAGAAAATGTACAGGTTGAGGTAAAAGTTAGCTGTCCTTGAGTATAATTAACATTGCAAACTCATTTCATCCTTGATTTTAATAAGTTGCATTGAATATTGTATTTCTTTATAACTTATATAATTGGGGCAGCTAACTTTTGCCTCATTCTGAATGTTTTGTTGGGGAATCATTTGAGGCCCTTTTGGGCATTCCTTTGAAAAATATAACTTAGTGCAAGTGTTACTCTCAGCAGAATGCAGTATCATGACTGAGACCCATTTTCGAATATTAACTAGCAGTCTAAGCAGTACTTCCTGTGGTTAAAAATTTTTTTTTTTGCTGGAAGTATTGCATGTACTGCTAAGCATTTCAAACTAGCAAAAATCCAGCTCTCAGAGTGATGAAAATTTTTATTCACTCTGAAAGCAGAGTTTTCACCAGTTTGAAATGCTTAGGTACAAATCAGTTGCCTAAAATGGAGAAAGCTATTACCTGATAGCATATTCATTCCATGTGCACTGTAAAACATTTTGTGTTACAGTGGCCCTGAATTATCAGACCCCGGACAAACCAAACACAATCAATCGGGGAATGTTCCGCCAGAACGGGGGCTGTGGCTACGTCCTGAAGCCCCACTTCCTTCGTTCGGGGGCCTACCACCAGGGGAATGAAACACGGAAGACCTCCATCGGATTCGTGTATCAAGATGCCGGCCCTGCGTGAGCGTGCAACCCCATACGGTTTGTGACCGTTTGATGCTTCGGCATAATGATGGATCTTTGGAATTGAATTTTTTTTAGCGGAGAGTGGAGGGTGGAGATGAGGCTGGTGAGTGGTTCTTGTCTCCCCAAGCCCAAGGGGAAACTGGATGGGGAAGTGGTGGATCCCTACGTTCAGGTTAAACTCTATGGACATTCCAAGGACAAGTTCAAGTTCAAGAGCAAGTTTATACACAATAATGGTAAGTTTGTGCATTCCTTCTAGGCATTTATAGAATACCCACAAATCAGCAGTGATAGCCGCTCCAAAGTAGTATTTTCCAAGGTATTTTCATTCTGTCCTGAAAAGCTTGAATCCTGAAATTCAACAACAAAAAAAAAAAGCTCATCTATTGCTTGCATCTTTTACTGGCTGCACTGTATTATTTTGATCCATGCTAAATGTCATTTTACTAGGGTTCAATCCGCATTGGGATGAGAAGTTTGAGTTTGTGGCAAGAGTGCCTCATTTGGCCCACCTCCTCTTCCTTGTCAAGGACTACAAAACCTCAGGGAAAGATGACTGCCTTGCAGCTTACTCACTCCCCCTCACCTGCCTACAATCTGGTATATGCAGTCTCATTCCCCTAATGCCTCATGTATTGCACCCTAGGGAAATCAGATATAAATTCATTCAGCTGTAACTGGACAAGGACTGATATTGTTCAGGCCATAAGCAGACCTTCATGAATATGGCTGCATGGTATCGAGTTCTGACTGACAGTCAACCCCTTGAGCAAGTTTCATGTATCATGTTCCTTCGAGGAAAGGAAACTGCATTGCAGAATTTAATTATACTTACATCTTGTCTGAGCTTCTCTCCCTGGCAATATTAGAAAAGTGGCATGTCAGAGACATAAGTATTCAGCAGATGCAGATGGAACTGCCAGAGGGAGTAGAAATCTAAGCCAAGGCTACACAAACCACAAACTACCCCTCCTGAGTGATGTGAAGTGCCATATATGAGTAAAGCTTCCACTGTCCATATGATGCTAACAATTATGTAAACTTTTTGGTGTGGGATAAACCCAACACGGAGTCTAGGTTGGATTCTAAGAATGCTTGGCCCAACTTATATTTCCTCACCAGATAACTAGCAATGAGTTTTGAAAATATTTACAAAAAAAGCCAGTGAATAGGAGCATCTAATGATTGACTGCATTGCAGTCAAGAATGACTGCATTGCAGTCAAGAACAGTCTTTCTTTTTGACTCTTGGCTTTTATTACATCTCTGGAGGCATCTGGAGGAAAATTAAAATAATGGCAGTTTAAAATGACATACAACTTTTATTTCTTGTGGTGGAATGCATTGCTTACATGGAATCTAAAAGGTGGAGGGAAGGGAGAGGCTTTGTCCTACAAACTGCACTGGTGATGGCCCCTGTGACAGGCCGCTCGCTGTGACAGTCTGTGCTTTTCAGTCCCGGTGAATCCTTGTCGGCTATCAGAATTTTCAAGTTCAATTCATATCATCCAAAGATTATGTGAAATGACTGGAGCTAGGTTGCTGCTCACTGTCTAGTTTTTATCATAAAGGGGGGATTTTAGGGGAGTGGGGAGTAAAAAGCAGAGAAATGCTTCTCTTTGTCTCCCAGATGCCACATGAAGATTTACTGCATTCCCCTCTGCCTTAATTCATAATGTTCTTGTCTGCATGATGTTTCAAGGTACTCTTTTTTAAGGTTGAACTTTATTTTGCACAATGCATAATCTGAATGCCACTGCAAATATTTTGCTTCCCTTTTTAGAATGTTCTGCATGCATTAGACAAATTGGAACTCTTTCTTTCAGGTTACCGCTGCATTCGGCTGGAGGACTTGAGCGGCAACCCGCTTTTTCCTGCATGCATCTTCATCCACACAATCATCAAGACCAACTGAGTCAGGTCTGCTCGTCTCGCTGCCACTCTCATTTCTCGTCTATCCTCACGACCAGGAACGAGTATTTTTTATTTACATCATCAATGGTGCTGTATTTGACATTTTATCATGTCAAAATAGGCTGAGAAAGCTGCTGTATTAAACCCATATCCTACACTGAGCCACAACGACCCTGGTGCCCACGAGATCGACTCTTCCGGTCGGCTCGTTTGTTGTTTCGTACAATGTATTTTTTCTGTGATACTATCCTGTAGCTTGTTCTTTTCCTTTGTTACATCTTTGTTTTGAATCATGATGATCCTCCCACCTCACCATTTTGCGAAATTCTAGACGCAAGACTCAACAAGCAAGTTGCAACAACAGTTGCAGGCCCAACGACTCGTGGATATCGCTTTCACTTCGTAAGATGTGGTACCTGTGTATTAGAATTGCTCATCTAAGGCTCACTAGAAAATGTGTGTTCAGCAAACAAATTTTCACAATGGCTTGGTTGATGTGGTGCAATTTCATGTGCCTTTGAATGCTCTATTCTTTTACTGAAGCTGTTACTGAGCTTTGTTCTTAGTTATGGACAATAACATCCTGTGATCAATTTCATGCATGACAAGAAGTAATAAGCAATTGATATTTGGTGCAGTTGGACATATACTCTTTCCTCTGATGTTGCACTCAGTACATGAGTATGAGTGGTTGTAGTCACAACATATGTAGGTATTGCAACGTATTGCTGACTGTGCCAACCTGTCCTCACCCTAGAAGGGGAAAGGACATGACAATACTGCTTGGTGAAATCGTTATGATCATAGCCCACATGTTGTGTGCAAGGTGAGAGGAAAGATTGGGGGCTGCACATTCAAACTTTACATCCTCTGATTTTATTCATCATTCACACTTGCTTGTACTCATAAATGCTGAAAAAGAAGCGAATCCAGGATTCTTGGCTTGAAGTACCGTATGCTTGAAGAATGCCCATGCGCACTGTAGTGTTGATGTATGTTGTATGTTTTGGAACTGATGCAGTGCTTCAGTATCTTCATGATGAGATGTCAGTTGCCATTGCTTTCGCCCTGTCTCATCGTGCGCTTCATGAGCCTGGGTCTCCTGCATTTCCTTCCTTCCATGAAACCTGTTGCAGTTCAACGTGTGCTTACATTGTGGCCTTATGCACCGTCTGAGATTGAAGGCATCTTCTCGTTAGGTTTCATATCGTGTGTACAATTTCCTGCCTTTAATTACGCCATTGCCATTTGGTTCGACGACCCGATGTCCAGATTCTGCCGTCCAAGTGCCCTTTTGGTGCTCGAATCATCAAATGTAGCTTTCCCCATCGGAGCTTTCGCAATCGTAGGCATTCCTCTGTATAGCGATCTCAATTAAGCTTTGTTGAATCTAGCCAGATCGATATTTGATGTTGGGAATGATATTCTGTCTTTCATCTAGACCGCTTTCATTCCATCCCTTTGTGCTAGTTGAGTTTTTTGTAGAGCCTAACCCATGCTTATCCTCAGCTTGCGAGAAGTACCTACTTTAGTGAATTGGACTCAGTGAAACAATTTCTATTGCTGTTATGTGTTCATATGCCTCAATTTATTCTTGAATCCTGAATAAAGCTTGACTAATTACCATCAATGTATCATTTGATGACATCGAAAGTACTACCAGCGAAGCTTCCTCACTAAGATTCACCCCCTGGGAATGGTTTTCCACACTCCAGGAAGGATATGTCACGTTCCGTTGCTGCAGACTTTTTTCCCCATTACTTCCCCTCCAAATTGAATGGTATCTCCTTGAAATTACTAAATCGTTATTTTTTGTCGGTACTGTCTTGGCCAGACCCAGCCAGCTTCAGTGAATTTCTGTTTAGAATCCCTGAAGCTGTCGTCGAATCCAAAGCCTCTTCATGCCTGTGGTTGTAGTTACATGTTGTCATTCCATTCGGCACGCTTCTTCTTACAGAAAGATAAAGTGCCAAAACCCTTTTTTCATCACTCAGCCGAGAGTGGGATTTTGAGGCCGCGTTTGCACGACCTGGCCACTCGGCAAGGCCGTAAAAAACCGTTAATGTGTGGAAAACCATTTCGAGATTTCCACCTTGACCCTCCTCACTCCGGTGAAAGCTAATGGCGGAATATTTGCGGTTTTTATACGCTTTCGCGGAATCGTTCTATTGGCTCCTCTTCCCTTGTTCTGATCCTGAATTGCCACGCCGGTACAATTAACAAAAAGATTGGAATTGGTTTTCTGCAGATTTAAAAACAGAAACAGCGTGACTTTGCTTGCCTGGAAAATTATTTGGGATATATATATTAACTCTAAAATTTTTACATAATTTTTCAGCTCCATTTTTATCCACGAGTATTTATAGTATATGTATCTCGCTCGAATGCAACTGCGGAGACAAAAAAAAAGAGAGGAAAAATCGCAATTGGGTGAATTTGGCATGGTTCAAGATCTCACGAACCGGTTCGTATAAATTCTGGTCCTTTTTAAATGCGTCAAGGCCCATTTGGGATACTTCGGCGGCGAGATTGGCGTGAACTCGCATACACGAATTTCTTTCAGGAATGGCGATTTTTAGATGCAAAATTTGCACTCCAAGTAGGGCACACTCTAAAATTTGGTGTCGAGACTGAATCTCGACCGCGAGAAGCGAAATGGCCGTCCCGGAATTTCGAAACGACCCGAAGAGACGGATGGAATCGAAATTCTTCCGTCTTCATCCGTGCATTTCGTGAAAAACGAAAGTCGGGAGTCGTGTTGATCCGATCTGGGTAAGTCTGGATGAGATGACGTGGCGTGCATTAACCACGGATAATTATCACGAACCCATCGAAAGTAATCAATCAATACTTCAATTAAATAACGTTCCGTCAAGACTCATCTAGTGACTAGGTGTGATTACCGGGAGTTTTATTTACTCAATGCTCATTATTTTATTTTTATGCACGGCTTCCCAAAGACGATTCCTTGGGGAAAAAAACGACGGCGGGGTCAGAAATATCAAGTTTTACAATTGGCTGCTCAAGCCTTCACGGTGCATCAATTCTTGCAAGCGTCAACAGACGGAGGAGTCTGCCCTCGCCTCCCTGGAAGAGTCCCCCGTCCCCGGCGCTTCCCCGTCCCCGCGTGCCGCTCTGCATCCCGGCTGCTCCGGGTTTCGGCTGCATCGGACGTGATGCAACTTCTTGACACAATTCATCACTTGCATAATGCAAGTTCGTTAGATATTTAGAGCTCGACTTGACTGGCCGGAATGAAGCTACTTCCTTCCGGAAAGCAAAAACCCATCGTTTTCGTCGGCACAAAAAAAAAAAATCTAATACGGAAATAATTTTCTCTTCTATTTGTCTCCACGCCAAGTGCCTTCGGTCGTCGGGAATCTCGCCGCAGAACGAGGCCTGATACTCGGCCCATCCGTCATTGCCATCCACGCTTCACTCCCGTGCTCATCGCTTCGGCCACGAACTGAAGCACTTTGACTCGGTCGAGAAAGTCGCTTTATCAACGCGATGGATCCCGCCCCAACCCGTTACGAAAACAGACAAAACGAGACGCAATTCTCCACTTCGCAATTCGTAACGATCCTCCGAATTCATTTGGTTCCGGCAGAAACTTCTGGATTCTTCCTCGTTGCTCTAATGTGTCCTTTACCGTTGCACGATGGAAGAGCAACGCCTCACTGTTATAGCGATCCAAATCACAACCGTGAAATAGCTGTACACAGGACGAGTGTAGAGTATCGGAGGGGAGGATGGCAAATACTTCACATCCATTTAGTCCGATTTTCTTTTTGACGACTTGAAAAAGGCATTCGGCTCCATTCGTGTCTTGGACCCCTGCGACGACCGAGTCGGAAGCCTGCACATCAATTCCTGCAAGTGTCAGTAGATGGCGCGGGGGAGTCTGCCCTCGCCTCCCTGGTAGAGTCGCCCGTCCCCGGAGCTTCCCCGTCCCCGCATGCCGCTTTGCATCCCGGCTGCTCCGGGAGCCTGATCCCACGCCGAGGCGCTTTTGGCTGCATCGCACCGAACGTGATGCAACTTCTTGACGCAACTCATCGCATGCATAATGCAGGCTCCTCGTACTAATTGCATATTTAGAGACCTGACCAAACTGGCCGGGTTGCAGCTGCGCAACGAAGAAAATCACAAATTCTGCGATTTGCCTAAAATACAAAATCACATAAAATATCATTTTGCATTACTATACAAAACCCCATGGTTTCGATCAACACAGAAAAAAAAACTTAATAAATAAAAAATGTAAGAAATACGGAAACGATTTCTTCCCGACTGTCTCCACACCCAGTGCCCTCGGCCATCGAGAATCTCTCCGTAGAACCGAGGCATGAGACCCCGGAGACCCCATCCGTCATCGCCATCCACGCTTCATTCCCATCAATTCTTTCACTCCGACTCGGTCGAGGAAATCGCATCGTCAATGCATTAGGTCCCGTTATAAAACAATACAAACGGCTTTTGCCCCCCCCCCCCCCCCCCCCCCCAATTCATAGGGTTCAGGAGCTCGAGCCCCCCCCCCCCCCCCCCCCCCTCCAAAAAAGGGATAAATTATTTGTATTCGATTCGAAAGTATAATGCATATGGAAATACAAAAACACTTAGATGTTATGAAAATTTCTGCCCTCTTGCAGGACTATTATTTAGAGGAGATTGAAAGTCGCTTTTTAAATTCCTCCGTCTTCGTAGGTAATTAAAAAGTCAAAATGGCTTTTTTGCCGCATATCGTCTCTTCTTTCACAGAAAAGAATGGGGAAGCTGAGAGCTAAGAAGACGCAAATCGACCAGTTTTCCCTGAGAAATAAATCTGATTGAATTCAATAATTTTAAAAAGTTCTAAACGTTGTAGTAAAATCTCCATAGAAAGTGAAAACGGACATCTTGCATCAGGATTCATGCCTCGCCGACGGCAAAAGTTCATTGTCTCATTTGTCTCAAGCCGGAAAATTGTCCTTGACGCAGAAAGTTTTGGCTCCTCCCTCGCACATGCAATATACATGTCTTTTACCGTTGCACAATGGAAACGCAACACCTCTGTTATGATAATTCCAACCTCGAGGGAAAGCTAAGCATGTGGAAACTTTCCAAGCAGTCCGTGCAGTTCGAGCATCCGCTGCTTGAAATTGGGGAAATCAGGGGGGAAAAAACGCCTTCTTAGCCTTTTCTTCTTCAACCGAAATTTGACAATTTAAATGAACAATTGAACATTCCCGAACAAATTCAGACTGGAGAGAGAAAAGGAATCAAAGCCACAAACGTTCAACATCTGGAACAGTCAATCATTCCTAATTACTTATTTTATGTACCACCTGTTATGATTAATGTTCCACCTGAAACATTTCCATCTGCTTTCTCTCATCAACCTCTGCTATGCAGTTCCCTCTTCTCAGAGAAATTTTGGCAACTTAATTACGTGCAACCTATTAATAATTTCATCCCCGCGGTTCCCACGACTCCTCTCCGTTCCCTCAGGACGATCTCCGAGATTCCTCGACTTCATCGGGAAAAAAAATCCAATGTCAAAAGGAATAACGGACCAGGTCGCACGATTATTGAAACCGGACTCGACAGACACCATCGGGGAGTCTGCCCTCCCCTCCCTGGATGACCCTCCCCGCAGGACACCCCCCGTCCCCGCGTGCCTCTCCGCACGCCAGCTGCTCGTGTCCCGACCCGCAGCGCGATGGGCGAAAGTTATCGCGCATCGGCTCTTCCGAACACAATGCTATTCCTACAAAATGACAGCCGGGTCTAAAAGGTTCTCCGCCTATTTGTTCCACTTCTTTCTTATACCTTTTTCTTTGCGTTACGAGGCATATCCGTATTGGTGATATTCTTCGGGTGTGTGAAGCATATCCGCTTCAGATCAGAAAAAAAAGCCGCAGGATTCAGCACGTTCCGCTCGGGACCGAAGAGATGAATGTACAAAAATGGGTTTAAAGTCTCGGCGTGTCCGATTTCAAAGCGGCAGTTCAATTGCAGTCGAACTACAGTCCTCACATGGTCCAGTTGCAGTCGACTGGACCTACGACTGGACCTTGAACGGACTGAGACTTAAGATATTATACTCCAGTTCCAGTTTGACTGCAGTTGCTACTCGCTTCAGTTTCTTTTCTGGCAACTGCAGTCAGACTATTTTCTCATTTCCAGCTTACTCGTACGTTTTGAACCTAAATTAATCGAAGCTGTTCGACGCCGGCCAATGATATCACATTCGCGGTTCATGCTCGTTCCACCGTGACGTGGCGAGGAAAGCCAAACCGGCTTCGACTCGAGGAAGAGGAAGTCGAGACATGTATATTTATTATCCTTCCCATCGAGTTGCCTCGGGGTGGGTCTGGTTCGAGTTCTCCAGACGCCATGACCGAAGAGAGGATTCCGACACGAATTGGTTAGAACTACGGTCACACTCTGATCAGATTGAAGTCTGACTGGAGGCCCCATCACACGCTATGATTTTGCTCATATATAACTGCTCCCATGTGAGCTATGAGCCCATTGACTCACGTTTGAGTGGGATTCCAACTCACAAGGTCTCGAGACA